AAAATAAAAGAGGTATGACTTTTATTAATAAATAAATGAGGAAACAGTTTCCCCAAGTACATAAAGTTGGGATGACATAAACGATAATGAAGTAACATGATTTCACTCATTATTAACGCTGAAATGGAATACAGATGTACTAAGCGGATTTAAGCAAGACAGACTTGATACTGGAATACACCTGGTGGGTGAGACAAGACTGACAGAGGGTTTGTTCAGGAGATAGAGACCACTACGCAGCTCAGCACTGTCAATCATCCTCCCCGAATTCAAATCCTGAAATTCACAAACATATGGAAAAAATTTAGCAGCACAATGACAATCATGAGTGAGCTTACTAATAGAGATCAGATTGCAATCAAAAATAGGAACATGAAGCACAGAAGTGAGGAATAAATCTGGAGAGATGAGAACAGAACCAAGACCAGCGACTTTGGAGGCTGATCCATCAGCAATCCGAATAGTGAGGGTCGGATTACACGGCGTAATCCATTAATAAGGAGACATCCCCGGTCATATGATCAGAGGCATCTGAGTCAACAATCCAGGGGCGAAAAGAGGTTGAATCCGAGATGAAAGCGGATGGGGAAATACCTTGATAGGTAACAAGGTCGGTGGCACCCGATGCCACACTGGTAGGTTGGACTGGTGACAACTGACTGAGCATCTTCTGGAGGGCATGAATCTGTTCTTCGCTGAATGGGTTCGTTCCTGGAGAGGTTTCGGCTGTTGGCAGCTGCCCGATGATCCCGTTTGGGTTTCCCATTGGCGGGTTTCCCATGAATCCGCCAACACGTATCCCGAGTATGGCCAGTACAGCAGCAGTGGTCACAACAGGGGCGGCCCTAGCGTTGATGATTGTCTGTAGATGGAATATGAGCAGCAAGTGCAGACCCGTCGAGGGCTGTAGTGGACAAGGAAGCACCTAACATGACCTTTTGGCAACTCTCTTCTCGGCATATATCGGAGAAAGCTTCACGAATTGTTGTAAAAGGTTTCGAATTCAAAATTCATGACCGAGTCTGGTTTGAGGTTGAGAAGAAATTTGAAGGTGCGTTTCTATTCTATGATTTGGCGAAATATGACAGAGTCTTCGGGACACTTCCAAGGGTACACCTCGAATAGACCTAGTTGCTGCCAATACCGACTAAGAGTATTGAAGTATTGGGTGACGGAGAGATCACCTTGACGAAAGTCATGAAGAATGGTCTCAATAGCAAATAGTTCGCTTGTATTGTCTGCACTAGAAAAGGTCTCACGGGCAGCATCCCAAATTTCCTTAGCCATGCCATAGAGAAGAAAATTTTCGTCAATATCAAGTGTCATCGAGTTAACAAGCCAGGCCATAACCATATTATTCTCGGATTTCCAAGTTTTGTATGACGGATTTGTCGTCATCGGAGCTGGAGCATCACCAGTAAGGTAGTCATCTTTGCCTTTGTCGTATACAAACATCATGACTGACTGGGACCATTGGAGGTAATTCTGGCCGGTGAGTTTGTAGTTGGTGATGAGGACAGAATTGTCTGAAATGTTGGGCAATGGAGACCCAGCAGCGGAGTGGTGGTTTGAAGTGACATCACTAGTGGAGGAGTTGCAGGCATGGCCGTATTTAGTCATTGAGCACGGCTGGAACTGGTTGTGCTCGGTCGCAGAAGAGTCAGCGCGGGAGATGGCGGGAGAAGCAGTATCGCGGATTGAGGAAGAGTACGGTAGAGCGGGAGATCGCGGGAGAAGTAGTATCGGGAGATCCCGATCGCGGGAGAAGCCCGACGCGACGCGTAAGAAGCAGTCGGCGCGGGAGGCCACGGAGGAAGAGCGCGGGAGATCCCGATCGCGGGAGAAGCCCGATGCGACGCGGGAAGGTCCGATGCGGGAGATCGCGGGAGAAGCCTGACGTGACGCGGACGCAGACGATCGGAGAGAGGCGCGATCTGTGGAGGAGCGGCGCTCGGATACGGGCGATCGGGGTAGCCGCAAATTAGGGCAACGCTCGGTAACGACGACGATCGCGGGAGAGAAGGGTCGTGATCGAGCCGAGCGGGAGAGGCTCTGATACCATGTGAATTTTTGAATGATTCTTTTTCTCACTGAATACATAGATAATTCACCTATAAATAGGTGAGTACAAGAGATAAAAAAGAGGAAAGAAATCTCCATACAATTAAGTAATTCCTATAATTATGGAATAAACATAAATACCAATAATTAAGGAATTACCCTTTTTATATTATGACTAAATATAGCAAGTACTTAAATAGATTTAAAGAAATAATAATGAGCGTAATTCCATAATAACCACTCTCTCCAATACCCTTGGTCAGGCAATAAATTAATATAATATATGCTTATTTGCTTGATTTCAAGCAAAAAAAAAATATACATATTCTATCATAATTTTACATAATTTTTCTCCTTTCTGAAAATTCTAATTCCAAAAATATAAATGGATGGTACTTTTGAATTTCGCGTAATCCTAAGAATATCCATAGTCTTTACAACAAAATCATACAGCCGTTAAATTCAAATTCATATGTAAATAATATTACTTAAATTTATTCACCATGTTACTTGTGACAAGTCCAATTTTCTTGAGATGATTTCTCATGGTTGGTCCAAAAGCCTCCTGTGTTGCATCACCATCAAAATTGCATGCAGAGTTCTATCAGTCTAGGCTTTTTGGCAAAGTTAGCACCAAATGTTCCTACATAGACTCGTATCAAAGTACATAGGCTAGGCAGTCAATTCCTGATAGTGGTTGATAAAATGTGTAAATGACAACATTGTCTCCAATATTAGGAGGTTCATTTAGGTGGCATGCACCATGTATTGACCTTTCACTCTTTCAATATAATCCAAAGCATTTGAGGGATGTGCCTGTTTAAACTCCAAGCTTAGATCATGTTGGAATCCATTGAATGTAGTATTATGTATTTATGCACTTCCGATCAATCATTTGGGAGAGTTGGTAGCACCAAGTGGTCATGCGTAAAATTTTCCATTTTCAATGTATACACTAGTTGCAAAAAAAAAAAAAAAAGAAATAAGATAAAATCATGGCTATTTAAAAATGATCATCATGGTAATGGTATTTGGTAAAAATTTTAAAGCAGCTAGTTGACTGCTACTTGATTGAAAAGTCCAGCTAAGAGCTTAAAACATGATAATTATACCCCAACACAATAAAGATGTACTTTTTTATCAAAAGACAGGAAACATTCAATTGAATAAAACTTGTTGATTTAGCATTAGTATAAAAAATGATAGAGAAAAGCAACCAATCACATAGATTTAAGCGGAAGGTACACAATTCCTAAATTAAGTGTGTTGTGGTATACCATGACATCGAACTGCTCAGGCTTCGAAACAAGGAAACAAGTTGCATGCAGCAACTTCGAAACAAGTTGCATGCAGCAATTGTCAACAATAATCTCATTATATTTTATCCCAGGGTACTTTGTTGCAACCTCCCGGCAAGATTCTAAAAAAAGACCATCTGCAAGTTTCATAATGTTGGCTTTATGCACAGCAGTAACCTTCTTTCGATTGTTGAGGTAGGCATATTCGAAAGCATATTTTGCAATCCGTTCTGAACAAAACTTTGTCATCACCTAGAAAGCCATTTGTAAGAGAAATGAAGACGACAAAATGTGCAAGAATTAACTAACAAGGGATAAAAATTATACAGTTTGAAGAAAAAATTTTTGCAGGATAATTTTGAACAGCATATCTCGTATTATGTCATGAAGTTTAATCATTCTTCCAATATGTTTCTTCTCAAGTGGCCGTAGCTTTTTTTAGAACTTTAGGGTAATAGCAGCAAACTCTTTGGTTGAAAAACTACTTTATATAAGTAACAAATCCGTAGGAAGAGCAGCTAATAATACGAAAAATAAGTGATGCATGTTTATAATGCTCTATTAAAATACTATGCTATACGATCCTCAATAATTTAATTAGATCTACTACTTGCATAAACAACATTTGGATTGCCATAACAAATATCTGCAAAAATTCATGATTGATAATAAAGGCACAAACAAAACAGAAGATATCGCACAAACAAAATAAAAGATATCAGTTAAAATACCAGGATTGCATTAGCACATTCAGCCTAGTTTGCTTAAGACAGCACATAGCTCCAGTAAGTACTGTCAAGTTGCCCATGTTTGGCTAAATTATCCACCATCGGTCCACTTAAACCATTTGCAAACACCATACATAACTCCAATAAATGAACATACTAGGATTGCATCAATGCAATCAGCCAAATACTACTTTTCTTGTTCATGTTTGGCTCATTTATGCGCCAAGTGATGTGCATCCATGTATATAATTCATAAGCCACCGATTGATGACTGAAGCCCTAATTGGAATATTCCTTTTCATGCATCATAAAAAATTAAATAAGGCTTGAGGTTAAATTAGAGAACCAACATAAACAATCACTTTCCATCACCAAATATACCATATGCATTTTTTAATGTCGCATAAACTATTTCAAGATCCTTATTTTTATGTGGCATGAAGGCTTTCAAGATTTAAAACACATTGCAGCATTGCATAACTAGACTTAGAGACCATAAAAAATGATGTCCACAGATTAGCATGGCCGCAAAAACATAGCAAATATGCAAGGTATGACAGTTTCTGAAAAATATCAAGCACTAACGGCAATTTAATATGCAATGTAAGACACATGCAATTTATATTATTAATAACGAAACAAATCTAACAAAACTCAAATAACCTTTCCAATCATAGTTCTCATTTATGACTCTGATAAATCATATTTTTCATAGAGTGACAATTTGTATGTAAACAAGCAGAACATAAAATAAAATAAAAAAATCAACATAATTCAAATAACATTTCAAATCGTATTTCTCATTGTCACATGAATTCGAGAAATCATAGCTCAGAGTGTGACAATTTTTATGTAAATATGCCCAACAAATACCCATGATGTAGTTGTCTAAAAGGTATTCAAGAGGAGCCTATAAAATATTGTATTTAAAAAAATAATTAAAATTGGACAAGACAAACAGTATTCTTGACATAGTATTCAAATGTACAGCATAATACATGACACGATAGAACAAGCCTCCAGACATGTTCAAGCTTGATAGACTATCAGATATGCTATCAGTATATTACAGATCATGAAATTGCTAGTGTTTTTCTTACGCAGGGCGTATCCTAGTCATGTGGGATTTCCCGCGATGGGAAGCGAAGGGTGCTCCAATGCCTAGATCAAACTGGTCCGGGTACTTTCATTGTGGGGGAGTCGGTTAGTTCATTTGGATCACCCCTAATTATCCTATTATTATATATTTGCTTTTGTAGTAATTTATGATTATTTTTTTTGTGAGTTTGTTTAGCGTCCGTTTCTCCCTTCGAGGGTTGTATCCGAGAGTTTTGATAGTGCTTCGGCTATATATCTCTCCCATGGTAGTGATTATTTTTCCTATCCCCTTCCATATCCTCCCCACATTGCTCTTGGCTGCTCTGTCCCTACTGCAGCCACCCAAGACAGCAGTTGTTGCTTTTTTTCCTGCAGTTTGCCCATTTCCAGCTGCCACCTTCCCTTCCCCACCTCGCTGCCGTTCCGCACAGCTACATCCACCCTTCCCCAACCATCCCCCTTTCACTCACAATCGCCAATCCTCACTGCCGCCATCCGGGAAACATCAAATCTTCTGTATTCCTGATGTCCAAACATCATTCCAACTTAATGCCGCCTGAACTGCAGCCTAACATGCTGTCGCTGCAGTCCCAACTTGTTGGCCTTGCACCAGACAGCACTCCTCTTGCTGTCCTACAGTCAACAGCCCTTCACCTTCGCTGCCCCTCGCTTTCCCAGCCCTCCGTTTCGTTGTCAACATAATTCCAGCCCCTCTTTTGCTGCCCCAACCACCTAGCCGACCTCCACCACCCACGGATCGAGCCCTACTGTGAGTTTGTGCGTGTCTGTTGTATTTTCCCTTTCAAGTGTGTTCGATTGAAACCGTCTATTTACTTTCAGTAATAATAATTGATTTTATCTATTGTGATTTTGGGTTAACTCCGGCAATATTTTCTCTGGCTAGGATTTTTCTATCATGATAAAATAGATGGAGAAAGAAGAGGTAGAATATGTTAAAATAGATGGAGAAAGAAGAGGTAGAATACCAACATGTAACTACAAATGAGCACACAAACACCCATCAGTAATTGAATGCTTCAAGATACAATAATTTCTCAATTCGACAAAAATGTCAATGGAATCCAGTTTCATGCAGACCAACATGATAGTAAGAAGTTCAGCTTGCAGCAAAGCATTGTCAAATACGCTGAGTAGCATAAAGGCAATGCCAAGAAATAAGAAAATAAAAGCAAATGTCATGGATAAGGATGCTTGGGTATTATAGCAAGTAATTGTGAATAATTAGATAAACCTATGACTTGTACGTAATGCAAAATATGACTTCTATTCTTATACATAACTAAACGGCACTAAAAAATAAGCGCATCAAGTCATCCAATTAAGTTGAATCAATTCATCCCCTCACATGGGGTTTCTTGGAGCTCGGGTGAGCGATTCTTGTTTCCTTATTTTAGGTCGCCAATCTTCAAAGTTTGTGGTGTTTCTTTCGGCGGTTGTGGTTTCCTCTAGTTCTTTCCTAACGACTTCTTCTCCTTCTCGAGGATTTGTCCTTTGTTTCGTGATAACGTTGTGGGGAATTCCAATGATTCGTTGAATGCTCTTTTCACTTCTAGTTTTAAAGACCAATTGGTAGATTTCTCATCTATCAGACTCTTAAAAAAAATAGCCAAGAAGAATGGTAAGCCAGCTTTTTTTCTTGATGAGTATACTAATTTTCTTGTGGAACCACTAAGATTTATTCTGGTGGGTAAGTTTTCTTTTGCTCATTCTATAATGGAAGTTATTAGAAGGTTTTTTGCGGATTTGAAGCTTGTTGGTAGCTGGAATATTGACTTAATTGATGGTAGACAATTGATGATTAAGCTTGAGAAAGAAGATGACTATGTTTGCTAGAAAAATTTTATTAATTGAAAATTTTTACATAAAGATTTTGAAATGAACTCCTGACTTTAATCCTAAAGAGGAACCACCAATTGTTCTTATTTGGATAAGGTTCCCTGGATTGAAGTTACATCTTTTTAATTTGAAGGGTTTATATTCTTTAGGTTCTATTTTTGGTACGCCTTGAAAAGTTGATCTTGCTATGTTTAATTTCTCTAGACCTTCTGTGGCCAGAATTTTAGTTGAGAGAGATGTTATTGCGGTTTTCACTGATATGATATAGATTGCGAATTTTAATAATGGTTATTCGCAAAATGTTGACATGGAATTTGTTCCACATTATTGCACTAAATGTAAAATTTTTGGGCATATGAAGACTACTAATTATTTTGCACATCCTGAAATAAGGAAGGAGAAAATTTCTAGATCTCCTGGTTTAATGGAAGAAATAAAGGTTTCGTTTCCTTGAAACCTCATGCTCGGGCTGAAAATGGCTTTGTTCGGCAAGAGAATGTTTCTTGTGATATGCAAGAAAAGATGAATGGGAATGTTGTTCATATGGAGAAAGAACAATTTAATGTTCTTCAAAATAATGTTTCTAGACTTTCTCAAGAAACCTTAATTAAGAATGAGGTTGTGAGAAATCTTGATAGTGGTACTTCTGGTTTAAGGGAGACTAATTCTCCTATTTTTCTTGATATCAATAATAACTGTTTAGTTGATGGGGTTCAATGTGTTAAGATTGTTTAAAATGCTATGGATAATGATATTATTAGGAATGTGGATTTGGTTGATAAGTTGACTCTTGCTAAAGATGACTTAGAAAAGGAATGGCTTACTCTTAAATCTAATAAGAAGAAAGTTAAAGGCATAAGGGAGCTGAGATATGTCAACCCCAAAGTTGCATTAGTTCAAAGTAGTGGGGTTTGGAGACAGAGAGAAAATCAATTAGTATTCTCCTCTAGGCTTTACTAGGGGGAGAAAATTATCTTTCGATGTTTAAGCTTCTCATTTGGAATATTAGAAGTGTGCTGATGTCAATGCTTCTAATAGTTTTAGAAAAATTATCAGAGCTCATAATTTACTTTTCTTTGGTATTTTGGAGCCTTTGGTTGCTAATCATAACAATGACAGATATATGAAAAGTTTCAAAAGGTTTAATTCTTTTGCTAATGTGAGCAATGTAATTATTAATCATTCACAGTTTATTCACTTGAGGATCAGTAATGATAATTTTTCATTTCTTGCTATTATTATTTATGCTAGTACTACAAGAATTGCTCGGTTGAATTTGTGGAGTAATCTTATTGCTTTAAAAGCTTCTTGAGCAGAGCCTTGGATTGGTTGTGGTGATTTCAATGCTATTCTTTCTATAGATGAGAAGAAAGGTGGCAGGTATCCTAATCAAAACTTAATTGTTGAGTTTGTTGATATGTTGTTGGAGGCTAGGCTATTTGATTTTGGTTTTTCTGGTAATCTTTTTACTTAATATCATGAAAAGGTCTTTGAAAGGTTGGACAGATATGCTGCTAATAACCTTTGGGTGGAATAGTTTCCTGCTTTCTCTATGATTCATTTACATAT